TTCACCTCCGTACTCCCTCTTTCTTGCTGTGTTCGATCGTGCACGTTCACGGTGTGTTACCACGGGCGTTTATGGCTTCTTTTCAAGTCCGTACTTTCTCCCTCTCTCTTGTCGTGTCAAGATCTCGCACGTTCACCGTGTGTTACAAGTTACAAATTACGAATTTCAAAAGCCTCCACGCCCCCCAATGTTTTCGCACCGACGTTCGGCGCTTTTCGCTAAGAGCAGGCGTTCAGAGGGCTGAAACGAGAGCGCGACTACCTTTCCTGTCCTTGCTTTTTCCAAAAGGCCCGGTCATTCCAAAGTTGCCTGTAGGTAATCCCCAATTTTGCCAAGGACCTTCCTTTTAGGGGTCGACTTCAACCCGAGGACCGGTCCTTGCGTTTTCCAAAAGGCCCGGTCATTCCAGAGCTGCCTGTAGGTAGTCCCCAATTTTGCTAAGGACCGGTCCCCCCCAAACTTTTGCCCCCTAAAAACCCACTTTGTGTCCTGGTCGCCTTCCGCTGAAAATGCGACACCTTGACGCAGACGCCGAAAACCACTATACCGCAGCCTTAGGGCTGCGAATATACCGCAACCTTAGGGCTGCGAATACTCGACGGCCCCGATGGGTCCGCTGATCGTTTTTTATGTCAACGGCACCACTATGCGTTGATCGTTTTGTGGCCGATCACGCCATTTGGCAGGTAGCTGCGGGGCGCTACGGCGGTACCCAATCTGCACTGCTCTCCCCATTCTCAAAAGACAAAAAACGATGGAAATGTATCTTTCCATGTTCTAGGGGACGATTCAGTTTGCAGCCCGTCAGGGTTGCGTTTCCCCCCCCTGAGATTTTCAACGTCACTCAGATTTCAACGTCGGTGGTCATCGGGAGGGTGGGCTTTTGAGGTTTTGGGGCTTTCAAGGGCGTACACCTTGTATTTGAAGACAACATGTACACTTTCTATTCAGATTTCCAAAAGAAAAAACTCTTGTATTCCAATACAATTACCTTTTTTTTGGAGGTCAGCGCCTTCCCTTGTGCTCCCCGCTACTGACATGCTGCATGCTGCAGGTCTCTCTCTCTCTCTCTCTCTCACACACACACACACACACACACACACACATGCACGCACACAGGCACGCATGTGCACTCTCTCTCTCTCTCTCTCTCTCTCGCTTTCTCTCTCTCTCGCTTTCTCGCGCGCACACGTGCACACACACTTCATGTGTTC